TGGGTGTGTGTGTGTGTGTGGCTCTGTCTCTGTCTCTGTCGCTGTCTCTGTCTGTCTCTCTGTCTGCGCGCGTGTGTGTGTGTGTGTGTGTTTGTTTGTATGTTTGTAAGCAAGCCTGTCTGTGTGTCTGTCTGTCTCTGTCTGTCTGCCTGTCTGTAGTATGGGCACGCATGTATGTGACGTTTATGCCGGAGGCCCTCTGGCCTGACTTTCCTCCTTCGGCGCTGGCGGCGGTTGCATTGGAGGTGGTGGCGGCTTCAGCACGGCTCTTTTCCTCGGTGCGGTCGGAAGGTGGAGCGGGCGATGTGCGGGGGTTCGCATGCTTAAATATGGTGGAGCATGTGAGTTTCGATCTGTTTGCTCCGTTTTGAGAGCCGAAGACGAACACAAACTCGAACATGGGAGATCCCACCCAAAAGGGGCTCAAGTCGTGCACCTGTCTACACAGGTGCTGAGCAGCGTAGTCAGTAGTGCCAGTGGCGAGGCAGCGGCAGCAGCAGCTTGTAAAACAGGATATCAGAATACATGCGACAGCGCCTATGCTTCATAGGGCTTGTGCTGGCCCAGCATCAAGTTCAACGGCTCCTCCACTCCCTCATCGTGCTTGAAGCTGCTTGGCCGGCAAATGAGCACCTGGAGTCAAAGGAATCCGAAGCAGGGTGGGGTTTTGCGGGTCGTGTTTTTGCAAGAGTAAATGCTGCATGAATTAAAGAAGCTTCAGTCTTTCTGATGTACCTGACACACACACACACACGCACACACCCCTGCCTACAAGTGAGACTAAGATAAACCATGGGCAATGTTCGTTCATGGCTCGTGCTGCAGCAGGCCCGGATGATTCATTCAAGGTCTGAGCTTGATTAAATGGAGCTGGAACACTCTTTCGGTACCCAAGTATATATTGCGTACAGCAACTATGACTCGAACACTGCTCCAAAGCCGATCTGGGCAGACACATGCCCTCCGACTCTGCTGGTAAATAAGCAACAGAAAGCGCCTTCCTCCCGTGCACCACAATCTCCTCCATCGCGACCGCAGTGCTTGCCAGCCTTCCGATAAAGGGGTCTTGGGGCTTGGGTGGTGAAGGGCCAGGGGTTTTCGGGTTTTGTGAGGCGTCGAGCTCGGATTTTGGGACTCCTGCAAGCTTAGCTCAGCACCACGCTCTACTGCAGCGTGAAACAGCTTGAACAATCTCCTAGCTGCTTATCAGTTTGGAGTATTTGTGTCCACATCTTGACGTCTGGAAACACAGGGCAAACGGAAGACAGCTCGCCACACTGTGCACCAGAACATGTGCCGGGCAAGGGAGGGTGAACCCTTATCATGTTTTTGTGTTTTGCTCGTAATAGCTTACAAACAGAAATTGACATCGCTTCAGTCTTGTCGTTCTACAGGACCTTTCGACTTTCTTGGGCAACTGCTTGGGGTCGAACAATGCAACACTGGGAGTCCGAATGCCATCTGCAGCTCTGCCACCACCCAACCTAGCCTATGCCCTCATGGCCCCAAACTACCAAGCCGGCCAATCGGTCAATAGCCTCAACTGAGAGTCGGAGACTGGCCCCAGCCTGGCATCTGCGAGCCTCGCGAAGCCAAAAGCAGCCCCGATGGCCAAGCGCACGTTGATGATGGGCGAGTCCCTTGGGATGTCAGGAGCTTGCTGCGATGCGCTCAGCTTCTAACCAAAGCCTAAAAACTGCGCACCGTTGACCCAGAACGCATGCATGGCACAGGAAAAAGCCAAAGAAAGAGAGGCACGCAAGCACGTGCACACGAATGCGCACACACACACACACGTACATACAGCTCATGCCGCGTGCATAAAGGAACCGGGGCAAACCTTTCAAGACCCACATGCCAAGCTAAACAGGTGAATTAACCCTGCGGAAACATCCTTCGACCCGCCGACCCTGCTCTCTTTTCTCCTCGGTCGCACGAAAACCGCAGTGGATCGCGTGGAGCCCACCTTTTCCGGAGTGGGTCTTTTGGCAAATCTTTGAGTTGGCTCTGACACTTTCGGAGTGCGGAGGCCTTGTCAGGGGCCTCGTGGGAAGATCAGTGAAGGACTATGGCTAAGTGGGATTGCAGTAAAGGCCATTCGAACTTCAATAGGTTCCGCAAGCAAAATGCAGGAGTGCCGATCATGTCCAGTAGGCAGACTAGAATATGTCAGGTGCATTTTGCAGGATGTTTGGCGGATGAGGACTACATACTTGCGATGTGCTGAATCAATGAAGAACAGCTTGTGGAGCAGCATGGAACACCCAACATCGGCTCACCCCTCACGGGGCCACATCAAAGCTCCTCCCAAACCTGTGCACCCTCTATATTAACACATGCCAACACAGTCCCTTCGGCCTTCTTCCAATCCCGAGAAGAGCGGCAGCAGACCAGAAGGCTGCCTCGCAGCATTCTCACCTGAAACTGATTCATTGCCGCCGAAATTCTCGAAGTTTCTGTTTCGACTCGATTCGGGGACTGGTGTCGTTCATCCCAGAAAGGGTACCAAGCTTGAAAACTTGCCCGAGACCCGAACAGGAGCTCTCCAAGAATTTTGTAACAGGGCACACGCTGCTATGGCCGCGCTCAAGGCGATGGCATCGGCCTGCACGTCCCTGGAGACCATCTCCTTGCAGCAGAACCATGATTCGTGAAGTTGTCACTTACGGAGCTCCAGGCTGCACAGGTATGCGAACGGAGCTGACTGTTGGATCGCAAAGTCCTCGAAGAGAGTGAGTGCACGTTGCCATCGAGCGAGGTCGGCGAGTGCACGGATCGTGACATCAAAAGTGACACCATCCGGCCTCGGTGAATGAACTGAACGAGAAGAGAGCTACTCGGAACTCGGGCGGAGAATCGAGATTGATCTGTTGAGGGGGAGGATGCAATCTCAGAACATCGAGGGAGGAATCGAGGAAGCATCTTCAGGGAATTGGCTTCTCGCCAAAGGCTGCGAGTATAGGCATGCGAGTCTGGATAAATTTGTATTGAAACTCGCGCCCACGAAATTCGGTGACTTTCCTCTCCACCGAAATTCGACGTCTTTCTTCTCCTGTTCCCCCCTTAAAACACCCGCATGCCTTCGAGACTAAGCCCTTCTCTAGACCAGCTCCAAGACACGTCTGTGCAGAGAGATGGCCCCCGAAGCAAGATCTGAAGAAGGCTCCTGGAACCCTCGTACACCCAAAACACCGCTACCTAACTACCTACCTACCTACCTACCTACCTACCTACCTACCTACCCGCCCACACACACCCACACACCAATGACCCCGAAACCATCCAAACCCTATTGAGCCTTGTCCACAAATGGTCCATTTCCTCCAGAAGCTCGAGGGCTATGCTTGCCACGAAACCCTCGCGCGAGAGGCCATGGACTTCAAGCTTCGAAGACAGGCTTTGGCTTAGGGATTCGGGGTGGAGCCCATGTATTCCAAGGCTAGTCTGAACTTCTGCATTGTCACCAGGGCCCGGATACATCACAACCCTTTAAACCACAATCCCACACACCCACGGAATCCCAAAACCATGAACCCTAAACCCTAACCCTAAATGTCCCTGGTCCTGAGCCCTAAATCCCAAACCTTGAACCTTGAACCCTGACCTTACCTGAGCCCTGGGGAACTTCAGCCCATCCCCCCTATTGCCTTGCAGCAAGCGCTTATGAGCGCGTTGTAGCTGATCCGATCGCCTTCCCCGTAGCCTGTGGTCTGATCGGCTTGAAGGGAGCCTAAAAGTCGGGGTCGCATCTTCGAACTGGCGAGTTTCCAAGGCCGACGAATCCGACTAAATCAAGCTGAACGTGTTACTCGGATCGGCAAGTCCAGCCCTCCAAGATGGAGGAAAGCATGAGTCTAAAATGTGATGCGAGCAGCTGTGCTGGAAGTTGGACAGCAGTTGCAGTCCCTCCTGCAAGCGCATGCAGACGGAAGCCAAACGAAACCGAGAATTCCAACACCTGAAGTGGAAGTCTGGGAAGCCGAAACTCCCTTGACTCCCCTTACCCTCGTCGCCCTCGTCCTGCCAACGGCTGTTCTTTTCACAGGCGCTGATCGCCGCGGAGCAGGCAACCACGTCCATGGCTAGCTCCTTCTCGGCCATCTCCTGCCAAGGAAATCAATGCTCAGGCCATGAACATTGTCAGGCTGCAAACCAATCTTAAACAGCGTCCCCAACCCGGCAGCTTTCCCGACGGTCTTAGTCTTTCTGTGGCTGTTGACAGCGATGTTATCCAACATGTCCAGCGGAGGACGGTGTGTTGGCTGGCTGTTGGGATTTCCGTTCTTTCGATATTAGGCCTGCAACTTTTCGCGGGATCTGCTCCTTGTTTCTGAGACAGGAGGGGTGATAATGACCGGTCCCATCTCTGAGCTGTTCGCGAACACGGAGCTCCAAGAATGACTTGGAGTCGACAGGGCTCTTTGCTCAAAATCGAGAGTCTCGCACGAAACCTCCAAACTCCAGGCTCAAACTCCCTCCAACTCCCCAAACCCCAAGACCTAAACCGCCCAAAACCCCAAGACTAGCGAAAACCCCACCACGCCCAAACTCCCGGGGAAGCGCAAGCCAAGAGGCCGAGAGCAGGCTCAAGGCCGACTCCCACTGCGCTCCTTTCCTTAGACTCTTAGACTGCGGGTGACTGGTTTTGTGGGGGTGTTTGTAGAGCCTGGCTCTAGGCTTTCGTCTTGTTGCCTTTAGCCGTAGGGTGCCTTTTTCCAGACTCAGTGCAGCGTAGAGAGCCTTGATGAGGCAGGCTGTCATGGCTCCCATGCCACAGCACTCGGGTTTGCAGAGGACGGGGGTTGCAACTCAACATCCTGAGGATCCCTGAGCCCAAAACCCCAGGAGCCTGTCAGCTGTACCTGCAGATGAGAGTCTCGCAGGCACTCAGCGCTGCGCTGCAGGCGATCAGGTCTGGCTTGAAGGACCTCCCGGTCATCGGGGTTCTACAATCTGCTTGCGCTGCTGTGGTAGTTTCACCTAGGTTCAATAGGTTGTTTTTGGTTAGCAGTTCCCAAGAACCCAGCAAATGCGGCTCTGTTGCACTTTCCGCACCAAGCTTTGGTGATGAGCTCCACTCAGGAAAGAAAGAAAGTGGATGACAGCAGGATTCCGAAGTCCTAGCTGAGCCCGACTCGGTTCTGCTGTAAGTTCTCCGACCTCCGAGCCCTCCAAGCTGGAAGCCTTACAAGACCCTAGCTCTGAGAACCTGCCATCCGCAGCCTGAAGCGAAAACCAAGCCATCCTCCCCTCAAAACTCAAATTGAAACTTAAGAGCCGAAACGGTTCGGGGCCTTGTTTCCGACTCTGCCAGCAAGCTGAGTGCGAGCTCCCAGTGCTGACCATCTCGGGAGGTTTCGACTCTTAGGATTCTAGAAGCTGCAGCTGGCTTTTAGGGCCTTAGCACAAGGAGCTTCGGTCTTCAAACGCGGCGCACTTGGGCCCTGTTGTCAGCCTCCTGGGCTCGGGCTCCATATGCTTGCTTCCCCCCAAGGGTTTTGATATGGGATTCCTGGCATCATGTCTAGGCTCCTGGGCATTTTCCCGATGGTGGCCTGGACTCAAATCCTGAATCTCTCATCTGCACAGCTGCAATCATGTGCACTGGTGCACTACTGGGAATTGCCGAAGATGTAGGTTGTTGCACCAACATACAATGCGTGTAGTCTGCTCGGGAAAAAGGCCGTCCACCCGGAAATTCTACCTTTGAAGTCTTGAAGCCTCAATTAAAAGTTAAAAACCGTCGCAAGCCTTCAACCAAGCAGATGCAAGCCCAAGCCAACTCCGGTGATGTCAGCTTCAGATTGAATATGCCGAGAACCCTTGAAACCCTAGTGTGTCTTGTCAGTCGGCGCTTCTGAAGCTATCGAGCCCGAGGATTTCAGCAACTGAACGCCCAGTGGCTCTCGCAGGCTTTGATGGCAGCTCCGTAGGACACGCCATCAGCCTCTCTGGTTGCCGGAGGAATGCGCGACTTTTGCGGTACTGGGCTGGGACTGTCGTTCTTCTGATCACGTAGAAGCGATCTTCATCAGTGGTAGAAACAATGCCCACTGATCAGAACGGGAGCCACGGCATGAGCAAAAAACAGCTGGGAGCGATGATGGCGACTACTGCGACTGCCAGTACTCTGTCACTGCCATCTTCATCGCTTTTGTATTCTAGGTTTCTCGTTGTTTAGTTTGCTATGCATACATCTGCGTCCGAATGCTTACATCACGAGATCGAGACTGCATTTTCCCACATACGACAGTGAAGAGCTTGACCGTGAATAGGAACAGGACCCTTGACATGATGATACCTAGGACCTATGACCTATGAAGACAAAAGATGGGTGGGGGCTTTTTCATGGAAATGACCACGAAGGTGGGGACTTGGATGAGGAGCGGGAAGATGGGTACCTCGACGAAAGAGTTTGATCCTTGCATCCCTGTGGACGCCTGAAATCCGACATCCTGGCCCGGCAGGCCACAACCCAAGCTGTGGCCTGCAAGTCCATACTACGCATTTCGCCGAAGAGGTCAAGGGAGCGCTGCCACTGCTCACCTGCTTACCCGGGCTTGCAGCTTAACTTAGGGTTTGGGGTTCAGGTGTTTCGAGTTTCGGAGGTCGAGTTGCCAAATTTACGGATCTAGGGTGTGAAAGGCTTGGTGTTTCAGGTGTCCACAGGTACACAAGGCCTTGTTTCAGCCGCTGCCTGCCTCATTTTCTTTCTGAGCACGGCCATCACGAACATTGTACAGATACGCATCTGTACATGCATACCTACATATGTACGTACATACGTACATGCGCATAAATATGAATACACACATATACGCACAGATGTATCCTGAGTCCATGCATACAGCAGAAGTAAATACTTCTGTAAATACACACGAAGATGCTTGATTATACACAGACAGAAACTTAGAGTGCCAGCTGGGCCAGCGGTATAACTTCTGTATACGTATCATGTTTGCATGCATGCACGTATAAATCTATATATATATATACACACATACACACCTAAATATATATATATATAATATACACTCTATATTATTGTTATTATTATTATTGTTATTACTATTTGTATATATATATATATATCATATCATATCATATATACGTATGGTACTTGTGTATACATCTTGTGGGCTGGCGTGAGAACACAAATGTTGTTTTCGGTTTGCCCTCCCGGCCTGCAGTGAACGCGGTGATAAGGGAGTTGTATGCACTGGTATCCAGTGGCAAACCATCCTCGGCCAAGCAAGGACTTTTTCTCTTGCTGAAGCAACGCAAATAAGGGTCTATTCCCAAACACAATCGACAAAGGAAAGTCATGGCATAGATTGCCAATCATGAGTGTTGATGCTTTCAATTGCATCCGGAGACCAAAATAGAACCTGACTGACTCAAAGGCTCTTGGACCTTTCAAGCCTGTCCAGAAGCAATGCAGGCAAAACCAAATAGGCACGCAGCACAATATAAGGATAGCTGTTCAACGCTGCAAACTCTACACTGGAACATCTTGGACTTCAAGACTTCTCAGCCCAAACTATCCAATATCGCAATAGACCCTCTCCAGGCGCAGACAAGGGTCCGCAATCATTTCGCAAGCCAGAGCCAATGAGTGGCGCCAAAGGGACTGCCTTGAAGAGAACTGGAAGGTTGGCAGTTACATGTCTGACTCTTGAGCAATGGCTGTGTCCTGATAAGGGCGCATGATCGAAGATGAACTTCTCGCAAGAACGCACGGCAAGCCTAGTAAAGTTAATTACTGGGCTTAAGAGTCCAGGAGCCCTTGCAATTTGCTGAGCGCTTAGATCAAAATCCAAGCGAATGAATTTGTTCGCCGACCAGGCACTGGGTGCAGGCTGACATAGTTGCAGTGTACACCACGGTGTTGGCCCCCGTGCCCGTTCCTCGACTCAAGCTCGATGCCAGGATTCCCCTTTGCATGATTTTGGGTCAATGTCAATGAGGCCGCTTGGTAATTCAGGCTCCCACCTCGGCTGTGCTCGAAGAGGCAGAGGGCCCAACGCCACAAGCCTCCGCTGCAGACCAAGCTCTCCACTGAGCCACTAAGCCACGCCCGCACCGGCCCTGCAAGCCCCAAATCTCAAGCTCGGGAAGCTCCATTCACACACGGCCTTTAGTGGCTAGGGCCCCGGGCACCTGGAGCCCACAGTACAGATTCTACGGGCCAGGTTAATTAGGTTTCTGGGTTGAATCATATGCTGGGGTTGTAGTCAGTAAACCGTTTGTTTCAGGCAGGCAGTGCCAGTGCACCAAGCATCTCGCGAAAGAGCTGTATTTCCAAGAACGGTTTGTTGAGGCGTGTGAAACCTCACGAACCAAAGAACAAGCAAACCAAGCATGCAACCAAGCAAGCCAGCAAGCCAGAAAGCCAGCCACCCAGCCAACCAACCAAACCTAACCCAGCCCAAGCAAACCCATCCCAACCCAACCAAACCCTAAAACCCAAGCAAACTTAACGCAGAAAAGTCTCAGGATCATTGACCGAGTAAACACTTGTGGTCAACCCAACAACCCCGACTCCAATGAGAACACATCCAACCCAACCCAACCAAAACCAGGCACAACCATCCACAACGAATCAACCGACCGACCGACCGACCGACCAACCAACCAACCCAAGCGACCAAGCAACCCAACCTAGCCAACCAAGCCAACCAACACCACCCAGCCACCTCACCCAGCCACCCAACCTACCTCGCTGCCTCCCTGCCTGCCTGCCTGCCTGCCTAGCTACCGAAATCACATGTGTTTCATGCACACATATGCGCAACGTGTGTGCATGTGTGTATGTGTTTTCGCGATTGAAACCTGAAAGCTTCATTCGCAAGTGAGGAGCCAGGATCTGAGCATGCAGAGATAGCGGCGCTGAATGTCACCTGCATCCGGATGCGTGCTTCAATGGCAGCTCGGAGGGAGAGCTGCTCGACGATGGCACTAACCATTGTTCTGCTACGTGAACCAAACCGGCAACCCAGCCAGGGTGTGAACGCACTACCGTGACAATCGACGGTTCTGGTTGCACGCGACTTCCCACTGAGCCCAGCCTCGTGGATTCAGCAAGCAATAACAGTGGGAGCCAAGCCCGGTGTTTACTACAAGCAGACAGAGGCTTGCCCCACCCCTGTCATCCCAGCCCCCAAATCTTCAAGCAAAGACAGCTCTTTCTTGCGCTCAGCAGACGTGGCATCGTCGGCCATGACATGCCCTGCCTGATTAAAACGCACTTTCTTGGAAAGTGTTCGTGGACCGTGGGGACTTGCAACTTACCAGGCCAATTGATGCAATGAGGTTTGACACTGAAACCCTGAACCTTGGCTAGACCCCTGAACCCATGCCGTTCTCGGTCAGTCTGCAAGGCCCTCACTCTTCAGAATCGAACGAAACATAAACTCAGGCCTCCCTGCACCAGACAGAACAGAACCCTGCGTCATGTCCTCAAGCCCTTAGGCTCGGAGATGCTCCCTAAAATTCTGGCTGCTCTCCCGCTATACCCACATGCAACATAACCATTGCATATCAATACTCTCTCTCTCTCACACACACACACCTGCACACACACGCACTTCGCATATATACAGAACTGGACTGAAAAAAGCCCGATCGTGCCCTGCACACAGGGAGGCCCAGCTTGAAACCGTCAGCAGCAGAAGGTCGGCACGGCTCGCTTGCCTCGATGTTTGAAGGATCGCGGCTCATGGGTTCCAGGGTCTTCCTTGTCTTTTTGTTGTTGGAGCGGTTATGGGTTGAATCGTTGTAGGTTCAGCGGCTAAGTCTTGAGGGGTGAAATCTGTGGTCCTTAGAGTAGGGATCTTATTTGGCACCGCTCCCCATTTGGGACTGGGGGAACTGCTGCGAGGCTCGGGGACGTAGTACTAGGGCAATAAGTAGGCTAACCCCATGACCCTTCCTATCTAGTTTGGAGCAAGAAACACGTGGATCGATGCAGTAATCCCGAAAGCCCTAACTAAAACTAAATCGAGGCTGTGTGAGGCCTCTGGAGACAAGATTGTCACGTTCGTGCCGCGCCAAGAGGCACACCACACGTCTGAGTTTTTTTTGTTGGGCTCCTGGTCATAGCTTTTCTGGTGTAGGGCCTGAATACATCTCGCAAACCGTTTGGCCCGAGATCAGGCCCCCAAAAGTCCTAACCGTTCGTGGTGCCAGGTCACGACCGAGGAAGCGCAAACTTTCGTGAGATGTTGGGCTCTGTCTAGCCATCCCATGCTCTGTGGAGACCAAAACCTCTTGCACCACAACAATCAGAGAGATGCAAGGAAAATCCACGTGAGGCAGAACAACCTCGCATCCAGAAAGGGTGGGGCAGGGAAGAACGCTTCTGCCCCCCCGGTGGGCTGCATCCCGCGGGCTGCAGGCGCCTCTGGACTCCACCCGGCCACGCGGGACGTGCCCAAGAAGCAACCCACATGGTGAGGATGGCAGAGTTCGAGGCAACCCATAGCAGCTCGAAAGCGAAAAGACGTTAACCGTTAGCGGTCAGCTACCGCACCGTCTCCGAAACGAGCTCACGGGTTCGGTAAAGAGGCGTGAACCCCATCCGACTCAGGCAGGCGGCGCAAGATGGCGCGAACATTCTCGCGTTGCAGGGCAACGCTGAGGCACTGAAGGAGCCGCTCAGTGGTGGCCGCAGAAGTGTCACCCGTGCGGCTGGCAAGCAGGGTTCCAAGCTGTTTCCATGCCTTCAGGGCCTCGCGGCCGCACCCGCCACGGACGGCCTCGGCGATGAGGTGGATGAATTGAAGACCCTGCTTGCAGGTGTGTGCGCTTGCGATCTTCGTACACAGATCAAACACAGCCCGCTCAGCAAGGAGGGTCCGCAACCGGTTGTGGCGTTGTCTGGGGGTCTTGCGGTTGGGCGATGGCATCCATGCAGGCTTGGGCCTTCTCAACCTGCGACATGGTGTACTGGTTGCAAAACCCTAAACCCCGAACTAGCACTCCGAGGAGCTCGAACTGGGAAAGGGCGCAGGTCCGGGCTGGCAGCGTGGTTGGGCAGGATGACCTCGGGCTTAGGAGGTTCCAGTTCCAGACCTTCGGCGGCTGCGGCTGCGCACAAAGCGCGGAGGGCGGTGGCAACTTGGACACTGTGCCGGCAAGCACAATGTCGCCAAGGAATGCAAAGCACAGGTCCAGGGTGGCAGCCTCGACTGCAGCGGCGAGGGCAGGCTGGGGTGCAAGGGAGCGACCCAAGAGGGCACCGCACGTTGAGTGCAGGAGGTGCGGGCCGATCCGCAGACGGGAGCTCTGTCCATAAGTTCCAGCCCAGCAAGCGAGGGAGGCCCCAGCAGCAGCCAGGCAGTGCCGGACGGTCTCGACTCCAGGGAACTGGATGCACTCAAGGCAGAGCCAGACGGTCCTTTTTTACCATAACCATAATGAGGACCCTTGAGCAAGAACCTGGTATTCAGACCCACTCTCTCTTCCTGCTATCGTCCAAGCGACAAGGCCCACAGCACCCTTGGCAGCTGGCACAGTTCCACACGTCCATGGCCTCGGACAAGAAAAGAGAGCGGAAAAAGGTGGAAGGTCGGGAACCGCATGGACTCTTAAGAGTGTAAAATAAAACCTTGAATTCAACAGATCCTAAGCCTAAGCCGTCAAAACCCTGAAATCTAGGTGCCCCAACATGCCCCAACCCTGAATGCAACCAGCAGCTATGTAGGGGTTTCAAAAGTCGGCCGTTGCGCCTCTTATATTGCAGATCCTACTGTTTCGGGTCAGTTCTTTTCATGTATAAGGCTGACAGACTCACTTATTCCGAAACTCCATATTTTCATTCAAGACTTTAAAACTTCAGAACATGGCATACTCAGAGGCTCAGGGGACTTCGTGACTGCTAAGCCGACTTAACCCTGAAAAAGAGTCGACCCCTAGCAGCTCGCCTGAAGCTTCCAGTACAAGGGACGCACCGGTGCACGTCGCCGGCGGTGGTGATCGTGTGTCTCATCGCCACTTCTCGTGTGTAGGTGCACTTGTGAGGATTTACCTGCCAGGCTGAAGCACAAGACTCGGATCTGAGAAAGCAGGTTGAAGTTTTCAACTTTCACGCTTCACACATCAGGCCTAGAGGTAGGCTGAAAATCATGACAAACTTGGTTTCTTCAAGGAAGCATCGGACTACTGGGCTCGGCTCGCAGCAAAGGACCTGGCGTCCGGATGGAACAGGACTTGGAATGTGGTTGCGCGAACCATGTTTGGTCAATCAAACCGAATCCGGCACTGCCCACTTTATATGATGCGAAGTCTGAGGCTTCTTCTAATCACAAATAGTTATTTGCCCAATAACTCCGATGGTTCAAGGCGATAATAAGGTCCAAACTGCCCTTTTTGAGCGAAGGATATGTGGCAGTGAGGTATCATGGAATGGAAAACCAAACGCCGAAGGCTGCGGACGCGGGCTGAAAGTCTCTAGTTGATCCAACATCCCTCAAATCGATGCTTCTCTGACTGCCCAAAAACAATATCCAGTTCAATCTCCCATGCATAGGCACCGGAGACTACGCAGACATGAGAATCTCACACATAAGATCTTGCAGACGTGGTCATCGGAACCAACTTTGCTCCTATTGCAGCCGTCAGCAGGCCCTGCATACAGCTACCTGCCTGCGAAATCCCTACAACACCGTTCTAAAGCAGATAAATAACCCTCACAGAAATGATGTAATTTCGGTTCTGCGGGCCAACCTCCTCCCAGGCTGCAACTGCCTTCTCTTCCACCTGGTTCCACTCAGGATTGGGCTTCGGATTTAGGGGCTTAAGGGCTGGCTTGAGGCAACTGCTGGATCGCCAGTGCCAGCAATGGACTCCCATCGGAGACGCTGTTTTGCAATCGCTTTAGGCTTCTCCCCTCCACACCGACAGCCTAGCTGGAATCATCCCCGAAACTTCGTCGGTTTCCGTTCGAGCTGCAACCCTGAAATTTGACATGCATGGCACTCCTGCCACGACTCACCACTCCTAACGTGCTCGAAGCAAAATCAGCTACTGCTGTCATACCATCACGAGTCATGTTCGAGCACGCTCTGCAGAAGTTCTATTAAAGCACTCTTTCCGAACACTGCCTGGCACTCTTTATTTCTGAGTTTAAGTTTTGCCCAATGCTTATTATCCATCATCCGGTTTGGGGGGATGGATTGCCAACGGCTACTGCTTTGGGGATGTTAGCTTTGATGAAATGAAATTGCTTCCAAAAACAGCATGGACGCACTTCCACGTCGGTACTGACTACAACACATGCACGGCTAATGCAGTCACGAGTTCCGGAAATGCAAGTCCGTAGACACAGCCTCGACTTCTGATGCACTGAAGTCCATCTTAGACTCTACAAACCCATGCCGTAAGGTCTCCGCGCGTCCCGTCTCTAGCCCAGATGCCTCCGGCGACAGCCCGGATCCGTCACACTGTTTGCAGAGCGTCTGCTCCTTGGTTCCGAGCTTTCGAACCTCGAGCTAGAGGTCGAGGTTCTGTAGGCCAGAATGCTCCAAAAAAGCTCCCCTGATCGGGACTACATGGCCTGAGCACCTCAAGCGCTACGCCGGGGAACGTCCACCCAAAGCTTGCCCAACAAACGAAGTTTGTCCTCACAAAAACTGGCACCGAAAGCCCTGCACTCTGAATCCCGCATTGCCTGGCATCTCGTCAACTATGCCTTCTGACGCCCAGACACCTCTTAGCTGAAGACCTGAATGTCACATCTTCGGAGTTCCTAAGCCTTGCGAGTGAGGACTGGTCATGGCCGGGGCACCCCGGAGCCGAAAAGCCGCCAGGCCTCTGTGGAGCCTTTCCCCATGCATGCGTCGCAGGGAGGCTGCACCTGGTTGAGGCTCTGGCTCCGTTGTAGTTCTGAGGTTTTCGGTCTTCAGAGTGCTCACACATGCGCGCCTTCTGGAGGACATACTTCCGGCGGAGCACCATACTGGCTCCACACCTGGGCGCGGCTCTGGAGAATGCTAGGCACGGCTGGGAAACGTCGCATTGCAGTGATCCGCTAGTTGATCTGCACGAAAACCAACAGGAATCCCAGCCACTCATGTATACAAACACCCACGCAAGCATACAGAATACAGAGAGAGTGGGAGAGAGAAAAAAAAGAGATTGAGACGGACAAACAACAGCGGGGAGAAGCGAGGAGAGGAGAATAGACGGGAAACCTGAGGCGGAAGCTTCCTTGAAAACGAAGAGCGAGAAGAGTTTCAACGGCCACACAACAGCTCATGTGACAAGCTGAGGAGGTCTGGCCGTAAGGCTGTGATCAACAAAAGAGGGGAAAGCAGTGTACATGCGAGATCCGTGGGAACCTCATGTGTAATGGGCTGTGCGGGGCCAAGACCATCCCGTCGAAGGGCCGTCATGTGGAGTAGTTACGCAATCCTGTAAGCTTTCCACAAATATCAATACTGCAGCATACGTTTGGTCTGCGGCGCTGGCTGCAGGTCTCCACCGATTCCTCGTGCTGATGGAGGTCGAGGCCGGTCGCGTTGCCGGCTGGTGCGTTCCCCATGGCTTTCAAGAAGGGAAAGCGTTCAAATTACCAGCTCGCGAACAGATCCAGGGATTGGGATCCGGAACACGGATACGTAGCCCCCTTCTGACGGATGTGGAACTGCCTCATCGATGAGCCGAGCCCTCTTCCAAATGCGAAGCCATTTGAGCCGCCTTCCATCCCGCAAATTTGAAGAAACAAGCCGGACGAACTCCAACGCAAACCGGACGATCTACGGCCACGGAATGGCTGGAGCTGAAATGGCTGTCGTTCAGGCACAATGCTACTTGTAAGCCAGCACCACACCGAGGGGTCTTACAGGGTATTCGCCCATCTTCAAGCTTTGCTTTCTGGCACAGTAGTTGCTTCCATATTCTTTGCGCTTGAGATTCAGAAGTTTCCTTCAATTCTGTTGGCTTGAGCTTTCGGAGTCAAGTCGGCGGTCAACAACCCGCCCGATTCTTCTTGCGGCGTCGAGAGATCATCCCAGGAACTGTGGCATGGAGAAAGCATCTGTCTCACTACAGTGTCGCCAACCTCGTTCGGCGCTAAATCGGCGCGACGAAGGTCCAGCATGAGGGCCTCAAGCGGCCGGACTGCAGGTTAGGAATTGGGGTCTCATCTTTACTTGGAGGCGATGGTTCAAAATCCATGCTTGCTTTTCCACATCTAGTAGAAGTAGATCACAACTTTCGTACCTCATGACCACCTCGAGCTTTACAGCGGCCATGGAACAGCCATGCTACAAAATGACTCAGCAAATACGGGCCACATGCGATTCTTCATATAGGGGCTTCCACCAGGGGACCCACAATCCTTAAGAGCCTAAGGAAGGGGTGAACTTGGGATTGAGGCCGGGTGCCAGTGCCCCGGACCAGTGCCGCACACGGGCCGCCGCGCTGATCGCCTAGATGAGAGAGCTGTTGAGAAGAAAAGCAAAAAGCAGAGCTCCGGAGTTCTCTCGGTTAGGGCTTTGCTAGCGACAAGTTCGCCTGTGGAGCCGAAGCCTTGAAGATCCAAATCGCCCAGGCACGGCGTTGTACAAGACGATGTTTGCCTCCGCGCTCGACTCCTTTGAGGGGCTCTGCTCAGGCTGAGGGTTCACGTAGCATGATGTAATGTATAGTCAGGAAGTATCCTTAGTCCAGCAAGTTCCAAAGCGCTTCAGGCGAACTGCCCGCAACGAAGCTTGACCATGCTGAGGGTCTCGAACCCCACTACGGACAAAGCTCAGGATCGCCCTGTCCTGAAAATCCGCGAAGAGCTGCAAAGACCTCTTCCATTCCAGGCCCTCTGTGCAGGCACTTACAGCCTTGGCCCGACGGCAAATCTCACTCTGAGCAAATCTGAACAGCAGCTAGATAGGCAAAAGCGCTCAAGAGGTTAAAACCTGTGGCGAGGACGAGACCGCACCCTCCGTCAGGTTTGTAAATCACTGCCGAATCAGCCCAAGAAGACCATGGAAGACCTCTAAGACATCTCCATCTCAAATCCTGAAAGGCCTCTGCGACTCCGAAAGCTCCGAGTAGCAGCGCTGGTTATGAAGACATCAGGGCTTCTGGTGCTGTAGAACCTTTGGGACTGTTTTTGGCTTTCATTGAATCTTCCTCGGAGCCTGTTCCGCCGTTCTTCTAGCGATTGTTGATGCTCTTCTTGCTTGCTCGGAGGCCTGGCTTCGTCAGAGTGTCAGTGCTTTGGGTACAGTACGTCTTGCAAGACTATGTGCCCAAATCGTTCGATTAACACAAAACGCTGGCCAGCAACATCGCACCGACACCCGATGATCTGAGGCTCATTCATCGCCATCTATCTCCAACTCTGTCTCTCTCTTAGCATCTGTCGGACTCTCTTTCTCTCTGTCGCTGCCCTATACATGCACACATCTACAGGGACAACGACGCGCAGGCCAGCCTCTCGTGAACCTCCAAGTCTTCAAGAGCAGCATCCCTAGAAGTTCCACTAAAAGTAGCGCACCCCTCATACAGTATACCCCGAAAACTAGGCCGGGAGGGGCCCCTCTCATCCGCACTTCGACCCCCTTCCCCCCTGCAGCCCGCGCCACTCTGCCAGGAAGGCCAGCGCATGTCGCCATTCAGACGCACAGGCGGTGATCAAGGACGTGCCTTTAGGTGTGTTCATGGCTCGAGACTGTCGTGCTTGCAGGCCAGCTCGCAAGCTTTTGATGGTATGATATGGTATGAAGACTCGTGCATGCTTTGCCGGCGAGTCTTGAAGGCTTCTGGCCCTGTGGGAACGAAGGGGTCTTGGCCGGTTTTGGAAGATTTGAGGCTGTCAGAAGGCGCACTGAGACCGGAGGCTTCTGAAATTCACACCGGGGCTTCGACTACGAAGCCGAGGAGCAAGTGATGGCATCTGCCTGAAGCTAGCAGCTTCAGGTGCTTGTTTTTCAGCTTCCCATGAGACCTTTAAAACTTGAAGCATGATGCCAGCCCTGCAAGATGAGTCGTTCAGAGGTCCAGGAGTGGTCTTTCTTCTTCAGAAGTTGGGGCGTTGTGTAGGTAACATTCGGTGTTGTGTGGCGACTTTATGGTTGAAAGTGGTCTTCCTGGCCAGGTATGCGGAGGCACGAGGTCTTTGCCCCATGGTCGCAGCATGCTGGCTGAGTACGCGAACTATGCCCTCCTTGGGAAACATGAACCACCTGATTGCTACAACAAGGCTACACAACTCCTCATCAGAACGTCCAGACCCCGCCTTCAGCTTGAATTCTCGGAGCTGCGTGTAGAGCAATTTCGCTTCAGCAGCGTGGCCCTCCTGGAATCGAAGTGCGCCGTGAAAACAGGACATACGGGCTCCAAGATGTTCGCGCGGAAGGCTGAGGGTTCAGGCTTTAGCAACTTTTCGTGCACTTGAGAAGTGCAAACCCAAACCGCAAATGCATGTCCTTTCACATACAAGAACATGTGTGGAAGTGTACAAATGAACCACCTCCGAAAGCTTGAGCATAGGTATCATGGCCAAGACATAAGACTGAATAAACACATACATTAGTGTGCATGTCCTTTCACATACAAGATCATGTGTGGAAGTGTACAAATGAACAACTTGCACAAGTTTGAGCACAAGTATCATGGCCAAGACATAAGACTGAATGCAACCATACATCAGTGTGAGCGTGTGGCTTTTTGTATATACATATACATATATATATATATACACATACACACATAAAGATATATGCATATGTAATCATATGTATAATTATGTATGCATAATTGTATGTATGCACATATGCATGCACATACATACATATAAATATACAGTATGTGTGTAAGTATGTACGGATGGATGGATGCATGCACGAACAAGTGCATGTGCATATGTCTGTTTATGTCTCTGTAACGAAACACTATACACATAACATAAGCGCTGACTCATGCAGAATCCGAAGTCACGCGGGCATGAACTTGGACACCCTTCCTCCCGCGCTCCCCCACTCAAGTCCTTGCATACGTTAATTGCAGTGTTGAAGGACACCTCAGTTTCGTGGCGAATTAGCCATACAAACTGCAACCTGTGGCTCCAAATCTTCCAAGAGAGGCGCGAGATCTGGCTGTGCCTGGCTGTTCAACAGCTCGGCAAAAATTGCCAGCGCGATGTGCCACTGGCCTCCAGCTCAGAGCTTTGCGGGATGTTCCCGCCTTTTCTTTTCTTGCGGATGCTTCTCTGCTCAGCCATGAACGCAGAAAACCAAGCGGACAACAGGGCTTAGGGTTCGGGCTCAAGTATATGTGAAGCTCGATCCGACAAAGTGAACCGCCGAAACTGGTCGCAGGTTCATCCTGCACTGCAGATCCGAAATTCTCAGGCTGCGTCAACATCGAAGCCTCCACGATCATAGGCAGCGATGGCAGTGTTGTAAGACACCACGCTCGCTTCAGCCTGCAGGGAAGTTGCACGTGGCTGAGTGCAGTTGCGGCATAGCGAAATTGAAAGAGAAACGAACGTCCGAGACGCGACATGAGGCGGCTTTTGTGGAGACTAATTAGTAGATGCTTCATTGTGTCCTGCGCTGCAGTCTCGCTGGCTCTAGTCATGCCTGACTCTCTGGAGTGTGTGCTTTTTGCGCTGTGTTTCGACCCCCAGCCACTGAGATGTCAGCACCGGCTCTCCTGAAAATGAAAAAGGAAGAGCCTGTACAGTCACTCATTCAGCCAGGAGGCTTTGAGATCTGCGAACAGCTGCACGGCCAGCTGCCACATCGTGCACTTGACGCAAGCGCTCATCGCCGCGTTTTGGCACCTTCAGTCTACATGAAGTCAATCCACTGCAAGACCAGGTTTTCCGGTGTAGTCAAATTCTGAGAGAAACCGCGCAAACATTACGAGATAGCTGCTTCAACATACCGACTCGTAGACCGAAGACCCAGCAGGCGGGACTCAGCGGTACTCCCGTGGTTTCTCTAGCACTCCCTGGAAGAAAAAACAACATCTTGGGTTTCCCTGAACCTCGCACAAACTACACTTTAAATTCGGAAGAAGCTCGAAACGAATTGCTCTCGATGCATCTAAGGCACACCACGTTCTTCTCTAAGCTTTGCTGCTCCAACTGCGTCAGCAATGACAGTGCCTGCTGCCACTGGCCGGCCTTGTCACAGGCGCTGATGGTCACGCTGTACCTCGGCTACATCATCAGGCATGTAGGATGCAACCTGAGCAACATCTGGGCTATTGCTCGGGCGCTCAATCATAAAGTTGCCACGATGTGCTAAAAGACTGTAGAGCAGCGGAGAGACAGCACACCCCTGCCTGACCCCTTTCTCCAGATGAAACCTCGCCTGAAACTGATGATGGCGTAGCTCATACTGGCAGGCACTGTGTATCTCCAGCAGTATGCGTTGCAACGATGCTTCGTAGCTGGCTTCGTACGGGTTGAGGATAGGAAGTTTACATAAAATTACCGTCATGGAAAGGTAACTGGTTCTGCATGCCCTTTCGTGTATACTGGCCACTTAGCTGAACACTGAAATTCCTTAACACAAACGTCAAATTTCGGAGCAAGGTCGATGACAGGGAACTGGCTACCAAATCTTAAGGCAGAGCCATCTTCCCGAAAACACCCAGTCATTGCTATCACTGACTATCATGTGCTCCATTGAACTGACAGGCCTGGAAGGCGGAACGCCGATTTAAAACATCAACAATCACCATACTATCTCAGGCAAGCTCCACAGCATCACCCTGGAAGGCTCACAGCACACACGGTTGAATGCAACTCATGGTCAGTAATGATGCCAAGCTTTGATTCTCAGCCTCCCTCCCTCGAGCTGTGAACATAAGGAGGAGAATCATCATCACTATCATCATTATCATCCTCACAATATTGCAAATGATCACTGCTATCATAACGATCCCTACGAGCGCTCGAGTTGCACGATCGTGCTGGGAGACTTCGGCTCGTCGGTCAAGTGCCGAGACAAATAACCAAGAGCCTGCCCAGACCCGATCCTAGAAAGACACACACTTAGAACGAAACAGAACACACATACACACACACACACACACGCACACACACACACACATACATATGTATATATATATATGTATAAACACAGTATATACATATGTCTGCGTATAGAAGCATGCATACAGTACAGAAAGTCTGGTCGAGCGTCTACAGAATAAGTAGAGTACACAGTGAAGCGTATATGGTACATAGTATAACACCGTACTAGAGTGCAACGTTTAATAGTATATCGTATGATATGAAGCAGCATAGTATAGACCATAGCACATGGTATGGCATGGCATGGTGCAATGACATAGCATAGCTTATCCAAGTACATATGTACTGTAAAGTATCGTCTAGTGTAGCCTGTCTAACATAGTACAGTCTCGTACGCACATACAAGCATACGGACAGACAGACAGACAGACAGGCAGGCAGGCAGGCAGGCAGGCAAACATATATACATACATACATACATACATACATCCATGCATACATAAGTTCATTCATATATACATGTATACGAGAGAGGCATCTTTAGGGTCCATCTGCCGCTTTGATTTGGTTTCTACAGATGACAATATTTAAACTAATTCAAACAACTTAAATATATTATCAGTATTTTAATTAGGTTAAATCCCTCGATGAAGCCAGTGATTTGACAGATTTGAAGTATTTTGGTTATTTGGGTTCCAAAATTGATAAAATCCTCGGTGCACAGCCAAGGGTAGCCTTCGCAGAACTAGCTCTCCATGTCGCTGGACTTGGACAGGCTCGAACACTCGTATCAGCCGAAACATCTGCATTCGAGCTTGCCTTCTCACATACTCTGCCCTGTCTGTATCCTGAAGCCTCCATGGACCGCAGATGCTTTCAACCTGCACAAGTCTCTAAACCCTCGAAACTCAGCCGCAGCCTTAAGCAAACTTCGACGACAACTTCTAAACCAACCTCCATCCAGAGCCCTGCACGGCTGCAAGCGCTGATGAGCCCAACCCAAGTCATTGCCTCTGATGCAGGCAACGTCAAGCAAAAGGTTCAGAAAGGTGCACCCACCGTAGCCTAACCCCTGACTGCAGGAGAACTGAAGAACGGGTTGCGGGGAGGGGGGGGGGGGGGGGGAGTTGGGTTGGGGTTTCGCAGCTTTCCGAAGACAGGGCATGACAGGATCCAGGTTGGAGCCCTGATAGCCTGAGAGATTCGGGCAGGTTGATCCTTGCAGTAGGGGTCCTTGTGTTGAAGGTCTGTTTAAGGTCTGTATTTGGCTCAAGTAGTTTAGTGAGATTCCTCTGTATACTCACGACTAGGCAGCGGAAATCATTTAACATACCTGCTGAGTTGGTGGCTCTGGACCGACCGACTGAAGTTCAGAAGGGTGTCACAAGTCTTCACTGGACGAAGAGTGGCTTGCGCTAAGTATAAGCCACACATGCATGTCCAAGAGCTCAGTGAACAGCCCAGTGCTCCACAACTTCTTTGCCAAACCTGACGGCCTGCCAGCAACCGTCAGAAAGAGCCACGGTCCCAGGCCTGGGGTACGAGCTTGCGATCCTGGAAGGCAGGTTCAATTTTGGATTTTGGGGCCCGAGATGGTCTAAGACTAAGAATGCTGACGTTTCAAGGTGCTCGTGCCCGGAATCTTATACATCTTCTTTGGCAGAGCCTTGACAAGTCGATCGGATTAGCCCATTTCATTGATGCTCCAGCTCCTCACCCCCGAGATCTCTGGTCGTGGAGAGGAGGCTTGGGATGCGTTCTCCATGATCTCCCTAGACTCCCCTAGACTCATGTGCAGGCTTGGGCAGCAAGAGAAGCCTGCTCCAAAAAAACACATCCGACAGGTCCGACAATGTTGCCGTCCAAGCCCCTCCAAACTCCCAAAGCCTGGCTAGTGTAAACAAACACTGGCCGGCCTCCAAAGCTTGAAGCAGTTGCAAGGCGGGCTGCCACTGCCCCGACTTCTCGCAAGCACCGATGGCCTTGGCTGTTGAGAAGCAGCACTCGAAAGCCCAAGAGTGCCCCTAAACTTTCCGAACCTTTACAATTTACATAGGATTGGGAGTTTACTGTCGAAGATCTGCACGGGCTTCTGCAAGCAGCTCAGGGGCAGCATTGAAAGTGATGAGGTCTGCTTGAAGGCCACAGGAGAGCACCTCTGTCTTGCAAGTGAATGTGACAAGAGTGGGCTGCAAGCGTTCAAGCTGCCCCCCCCACTACATAGGTCTGCAAGCCTGGGCACTTCGGAGAGCAGGGACAAAGCCGCGGCCCATCTCCCGGCGTCTTTGCATGCATTGATGGCCTTAGGGCCGCGATCCACCCTATAAGAGGCCTATGCCCCACGGGTTTACGAGTCTGAGGAAGAGAAAGCGATCTGGTCAACGAGGCGCGGTGTTGTAGGAGACAAGATCCTTGTCCACGGTCGCTTCTTGAAGGCCATAGAAAAGGCGGAGAGCTTTTTGCCATTGCCTTAGAGTGGCGCCGACATTGCACGAACTCGGGCTTGTGCGCAATCTTCCCGAACCCGCAACTGCCTGAACCCCAAATCTGCATCACAGCTTCCGGCCCTTTCCCAAGGCGCCAATGGCCGCGTTGTAAGTGAAGGTGTTTCCCCACACAGACTTCACTTGCATCTCCTCAGTCCGCGGTGTTGTGAAAGGCTCGATTTGCGGGCTTCTCTCTTAGGGGTTCCTGTTGGGGCGGTGTTCTTATGAGAACGCTCGTGTCCAACTATCGTCCCAGATGGAGGCTGGAAGGCTCTATGCGAGAAGCTCCGGAGTAGGAAGCATCCGCGTGAACTGCAAAGCTGGGAAGCAACCAGCATCAACCTCATTCTGAAGAAGAGGTGAAAAAGTGAGAAGGAATTCCAGAGTTCAGGAAGCTTGCAGAAGTATGGTCAAGGGGTTGGGGCTCGGCGCTGCAAGTGTAAGACATATGCACTCTAACCCTCGTTCTGCCGAGAGTCTTCTAGGAGGCTGCATGCTTCCCGCCACCTGTGCATTCGTTGTAAGCTTGACTTCTTGGGAAGTTCCAGATAGCGTCTGTGCTTCAAGGTCAGGCTTCACTGTTCAATCGGATCCAGCTCGGGCCCATGAACCCGGCGTATGCAAGTCGTCCACAGACGTCCCGTGATAGTTTTGCGTGCCAAGAGATATGCAATGACGTAGCAAAGCTGCATGGCCATCAGCACGACTTTCCGAAAGCTTTGCCCTCAGCTCAGGCCATCCCCTATGAAACCCAATGAAGTGCGAGAACCTCAGCTCGGAAAATACACCTGTGATTCAAGCGCCCCAGGCGCTTGTACCGCCTGAGCCCGGGTCTGACCCCATTTTAAACCCTAAGCTAAGTCGTGGGGTCCTTTTTTATATAGCAAGGACACTTAACATTGAAACCCCTGCTTGGCCCACTTTTGAGACACCTTCTTCCTCGGAGTCAAACTTCCCATAAGGTTCAATGTATCTAAATGTTGGTCTGTGCAGTATCGCAAACTCCGAAACGCTGCTATTTGGCTACTTGGACCTTCTATGTACAGTCTGAGGGGATGTATCAAGTAGGTTCTAAGCAGGGAGAACGGCAACTAACAGTACCTGCATCCCCAAAGAATAGACAAACTTGATTGCTAAGTCCAAAGATCCTTCGATCAGCCTTAGAAACCTGGTGCGGTAAGTTAGATTAAGTAGTTAGTTCCTTAACCAGAATGCAAGCGAATCCAAGGTTAGATGCCTCGAAGCTCTGCCGCAAGCGCTGATAGCCTTTGTGAACCTGATAACCTCCTCGCGGGTTTGTAGTGACGCATGGAAGCTTCAGCTTCAACCTGACTCTACCTTGGGTCCTTGCGACTCGCTCCCAAGGAGCCATCAAGTTCCAGCGTCTTTGGGACCATTGACCCCAGGAACTCGGTGTCGGTAGAGCTCTAGGATGGGGTGCTGTAAAGCTAGGGCTCCGGTGTTGGAGCCTTATACTCAGTAGGATCAGTAACGTTTCGCTGCTTCAGAGTATTTAGGGATGCAGGGGCTTTGGCAACGAGTGTCAAGGGCTGTAGGGTTTTGCGAGTTTTGTGTCTTAAGCTGGGCTTCAGTTTATACTGGGATTGGTGTTAAGGGCAGGTTGTTGGTTGTAGTGGGTTTAGGATTTGGGTATTGTGGGTTGGGGTTTGAGGCTTAAGGGTTAGCAGGAGGGTGTTTTGCTTGATTTACCCTAAACCCTAAACCCTATACACCCTAAATGACCCTAAACCCTAAACCAACCCTACACCCTAAACTCAATAGGCTTTCAGGGAACACTTGCCGGTCTGTGTTTTTCGAAGGGCCTGTGGGTTCGAACAAGGCGTGTCTCAAGGATTTCGTCCCATGAGATTAATTGTAGCAGAAGGGTTGAGGGCTTTAAGTTGTACGTAGTTAGCCGTCCTGGTCGACGGCAGTTCCCATGGCTGCGGCCACACTTCATGAAGACTATCACCGGAACCGGGGTATTGAGTGGTTTTCGGGCGGGGGTCTACGGGGGTTTGGCATCTCGCGAAGCATTTTGCAGCTACCACCAGCTTGAGGCTCAAAGCCAAAGATTTGGGCATGTGATTCCTGAAGTGCAGAGCGGGCGTGTCCTTCTGCAGCCGAATGCGTAATCAGTCATCTAACACGCACACTCGACATCTGCACCCTCAAACTGACAAGCCGCGATTCATGATCAATCGCTTCAAGACACAGACTGTCGACAACAATACCTTGGTTGATGTTCGTCCCATGTACTACCGCGAAGGTTTGCTTGCAACGTCGCGACCCCCTTCATCCCTTCACCTGCAGCTCTTCTTCCAAACTCTGACTCCCAACCTCCCATTGAGCCTCAACTCTACAGCATCCTTCGAAATTTCATCGGGACCCGAACACCCGAAGCGCCTTTGCATGTTTGGTTTCCGTCTACTGTAGGCCTTGAACCTTGAGGCGGGATCAGGAGGTAAGATTTAGGCTTGGGCTTTCTGGCTACCGAGGCAGGAGATCAAACAGGACACCGGAACCGAGGCCCAGGCAGTGTCGAGTATTCCCGCTTGAAGGAAGGTAGTTCCTTATGCTGCTTTTGGGTGTTTCAGGCTTAGGACTCAAGACTTGGTGGATCTCGTGCCCGGCACGACAGACTCCATATTCGCGGGTCCAAGCTATACAGGTTGATTGAAGGTGTTTGCCGACATGGCACGCCCAAACAAAAAGGCCAAACCCAGCGTGTCTGCAAAAAGTAAAGTTCCCGACGGTTACAGGAGAATGGCGACATGACGATTGCTACCAGTACCTTTACCAACACTTCTGCTGCTGCTGCGGCTGCTGCCGCTGCTACCATTAGTGTCATGGCGGCTACCAGTACCGCGACTCCTTCCAGTATTGTTGAGGGCATGAAAAATCATCACAGTGCAAGGGTGACAGCGATACGACTCACACAAAGTGGGGAAGATGACCCACTGGCACAGTGGCGGCAACAGTGGCAAAAGCAACGAGGCCGGGGCAGTCAATCGGTCCGCAAGCGTTCCCCATATAGCTTCTGCCTGCATCACTGAAGCTGCAGGCAAGAAGTTCCTCTGCGCTGTTCCTGATGGAGTTCGAAATCCAGTTCACTATGTTTGTGATGCCGATGCTGAAGCTTGGGATAGTGGTAGTGGTGGTGGCTAGTTGTGCTGGTGCTGGTGCTGGTGCTGGCACTGGAGGCGGTGGTGGTGTGAAGGTTTCTGCTGCTGGTGTTACAGCATCGTCGTCCACGCCGCTGACATGGTTACCCCTGAAACACGGCTGGTTGTGTCCCCTGAGCCCTAGAGTCTATCTCGTGTGTGTGTGTGTGTTGTTTGCAGTGTTTGTTGATTTTCTTGCGGTCGCTCCTTCTTTCTAGTTGTTGATTCGATACTTGTAGCGCCCGGTTCATGAGATTGGCTTCTGACGCATGTGTGTTTGTTCCCATCCTTGCTGTGAGCGTCATCAGCAAGCCATGATCGTCATGTCTCAAAAGACTTGGGCGCAAGGCTCAAAAGAATTTTCGAAATCCAGGAGCAGGAGAATGGCCGCACTCCATCGCAAGAGCGAGAACGAGGCCGTCTGAAACTTTGATGAATGCAGTGGTCCAAACTGCCAATCAGCCGTCAGCTCCTGAATGAAGCTTCAGATGCGGGGCACCCCAAAGGGCACAATGGTGTGTCGAGCCTTGAGTGACTGAGTGCCGCCGAGGAAAACTTCGCATTCCATCCTGAGAAAAGGAGCAACGCGAAAAGGCGCTCCTATCCCTCTTGGAACCAACATGGAGCCCCAAGGAAGGGAGTCTGTCACAGTCATCCATCTTAGTCTTAATACGCGGGCTCAGCATGGCCCTCTTTGAGTGTTGGAACGGAGAACTTCTCGCTGCGAAACAATGCCAAGCCGTGTTGCCTTATTGGTTCAATGGTCTGGGATCAAAGATGCAGTGGTTGGGGTCCAGGCATCCAAGGAAGTCTCGACACTGTCTCAGTTGTCCTGCCTTGAAGCCCGAAGCCCTGTTTGTATGAAGCCCGAAAAGAACATCGACCCCAGAAAAGGAGAGCCCGAACCCTAGACTCCCAGCAGTGCCGGGCTTTGGCCGAGTTAGGGTGCAGGCCCGAGGAGAAATAAGATCTCCTGAATCCTGAATGTCTTCTTTTAGTGTGGATGTCTGCATTGGAAGAACGAGCCCCCTGGGCTGCAGCCGGGCGTCTTTTCAACAAAGTCGCTCTCGTCCACGTCCATCACAACGTTTGTCGATTCGACCGGCCCTCGTCGTCCCTCTCCGGAGCTCTAGGCTCAAGAGTTCTAGGTTGAAACCACTGGACGAATTGTGGCAGCTGAGTGGTCAGGCGCTGTGCACGTGCCTGAAGCTCCGAAAACTCGATGTCTCAAGGCTCCAGGCTTGTGAAACTTGCATAAGCCGCTTGGGCTCCGAGACAGTTTGCCCACTAGCCCAGTTCGCACCCTCCATCACTTTGAAAAACCAAACCTGCAAGCCTCCTTCAGCTCTAGGGTTACCTTGAAGGAAGCTTCCCAGACCCTGGACTCCAAAATCCGGGGAGCTGGATACCAGGTTTGGGATTTCATGCTGTATAATTGACCCTACGACAATAACCCAAAACCCTTGACCCTTCAATACCACGAGATCCTTCACGCTGTTTGGGACATCCAGCCTTGCAAAGGTGCAGCCGCTCACCGTCGCCTGCCCCGGGCAACAAGGATTCGTTGTGACGGCCTCTCGAAATCCAGAACCCAACCCGAAACCCTGAGCCTCCTTCGGGTGTAATGGGCGGGGCCGCATGCTCCTCCCCATGTTCACCACCAACCTTGGTAAAGAGAGATCTGGGCTCGGGCCATGGTGCAGTACTCTCCGCTATTGGCCAAGCTGATAGCTCCCGGCAAGGCTTAGCGTAAGCTGGACTTGGAGTTGAAACAGCCACCGAAACAACTGCGAGAGGCCTATTGTGCAGAAATTTCACGAACGTCTTGAACACGCTGCTGCTTCTTGCTGAGTATCGAGGCTGCTTCGTGCACCATCCGTGTGGCGCCTAGTCACCTAGTCAGCGAAGCTTTCAGATGCTTCGTAAGACAGACAGAGAAGGTACTCCCCAGGCCCGTGCAAAGACTCACCAAGAAGCACGGCTGATGGAGATCATGGCAACATGATGCTGTTCCGCGACAGCTTCGTCCCCAGACTTCTTCACAAACTGGCCATATGCCGCAAGAGCATACTTACATGGACTCGGTCGACGAACAGTTGCTCTGCCACCCCAGTCATTCATCGACCATGCCTCACCACAACCCTACAAGTAGCTGTGAACAGCAGACACCCGATTTCCGAATTGGGGCCTCTACCGGCCTAAACCTTCCATCCCCCTTCATCGCTCGTAATAGTTGGAAATAGGACTAGCAGCCCTCAGCCTTAGTTGCCACTGAATCTGTTTTCGAAACAGAAGCCTTGTCCAAGTTTAGCAATTCATAGACCCTATCCATCAGCACTACTAGAACTGCGGTTATGGAATAATTACTATCCCCCCTCTAAACCCAAACCTGAGCTCCCACGCTGGCCATCCCGTCTTCAAATGCATGCCGTTGGCCAACTCCAGCCTGGCGCTTGAAATCCGCCCTCACCACGTCATTCCGAAGTATGACTTACAATGGCGGAGCTGAGACAGGTGACGGGAGCGGCAACAACGCAAATAGTTACCACAGTCATATGCCATCATGACCATCGCGGCAAACGCCACGACTCTGGGCCAAAACCATAGTCGTCATCACGACCGGCATCGTCACTCTAGGGCGAGTACGAGTACCATAACCACCACCAGCACCATCTCCATCTCCGTCCTCATAGAAATCAGCATCACAGTACATCACAGTCATCTTCTGCATCATCGTCGGCGTCACCGCTTTCATCCTCACTCCATCACTACCTCCATCTTCACCACCGCCACAACCACCAGCACCAGCACCGGGGCCCGGCACCCAGAGCACCAGCCCTACCACCGCCACCACCACCAAAACCGTGCCATCACCGTCGAAATCAATACCAGCGATGTTTGCCCCGGCAACTGGTGCCTGGTGCCTGGGATGTAGGGCTAGCAGCTAGTAGGGTAATGGCAGTTTCAGCAGAAAGAACAAAGGAGGCGACAGCTGAACACCATCCAACGCGGGAACAAAAGCATGCACGCATGTACTGCTGCTGCGAACGTGCCCCCCCCCCGGCCGCCCCTCTTTGCCAGATCAAGCTTGATCTACACGAAGTCACGGTACTTCCGACTCTGCATCCCAAAACCATGAGACATAAGCCCATAAGCTTCGCAGGATATGTTTCGCCGCGCGCGGCTGCATTCATGTAAGCCCCCACAGAAACATGCAAGCTCTTCTGCCTCTTTCCTCTCTTTCCGGCGGCCTCCCCCCCGCAATGATGGTGCTGGCGATGCGTTCGGTTGCTGCCTAGTCGGTCGCAAGGAAAGGCCATGAGGGTGGGCTTGTTGAAGATTGAATAGTTGGTGTTGCATGGGGTCTGGGTAGGGCGTTCTGCAAGGACATCAGGTAAACGTTTGGGACCACGTTTCCAAAGCAGGTGCACCATCTATTTCAGGCAGTCGGAGGAAACCCAGATCGAAAAAAATCGGTGGGAGATCTAGTCCCCGAGCCTAAACCCAACTTTCATGCTATGGCGCCTCAAGGAATCCGAAGCGGCCGCACTCGCTGATCCTCCGCGCGCAGATGCTGCTCACTGCAGCCCGGGCGCATGGTCTATTGAGCCAACTGCTGGTAGGACTGAAGGTTTGGGTCTTTCGGGGGGTTCGCACTAAAACAAGCATCAAGACTCCCCCCAACACCCGAATCTCAACTGCCAAAACCCCTCGATGGACGACTTTGATCGTTGCCAGGTAACTTTAAGTAGAACCACCAACAAATGGATTTCATAGCAGGCCTCGTATGGGGATCTGAGTACATCGTAGTTGATGACTATATTCTCTCTCTGGTCTCTTTGGAATCATATCACAAGACATAAGATACCCCTACGACCCTGCTCGACTGGTGAAGGCATTTATGGTACACGACATGACCCCTCGTCCCGGCCTCAACGCAAGCACAGCCCGGGTGATGTCCGGATAGCGTATTCGCAGGCCCGGCAATGCCAGGATCGCGTCATCTGCAGGTTCAGCTCTTGTCTTCTGGTCTTTTACCGGGCATTGTAGGGTGTAGTCGGTGCTTAAATGGGGCCTCAGGGTCTAAACGGCATAGGAATGGAACTCAAACTTTTGGGCGTGCCTTTACCGGAGGATGCTTCGCGCGAACACAGGAAACCGCACCTTAATTGTATTGTATCGACACTTTTTTCTTCCGACTCCTGCGAACAAAAGTTGGTATCAAGGCATCGTTTTACACCCGAGTCCGAGTCACTGAGGGAAGCTGCGGGCAAGCCCCGTACTCCCTCAGGCACCCTCGTGAAGCTGAGCTTAAGTTTTTCTGCTGAGGTCTGTGCTGACCATCCCTCTTCTTTACATACGGTTGTGACACCAAGGCTTCTGGGGTCTTCCTACAGTAGGGCAGTCAAGAAGATAGGGGTCCTCAGAATGAGGATAAATTGATGCAGGAAGGTCCCCTACTTTCCTGACAGTCCCAAATCAAGGCACGGGGTTTGAGACTCACTAAGGCTTCTGTACGATTAAGGCTCAAAGACCCGTTCCTGCAAGACGCAAGCAAGCAATACTCAATGGAGCGTTGAGCCTACATGTTTCGCGAAGCTGTCTGGCTCAAGCTCTGCATCCTCTTTGATCTGTGTCTGCATCATCTTCCGCCTGGAGCTCACATCTCGGGCTGCGAGTTTCCGGACACAACGCTCCCCGAATAACCAGGAAAGCAGCTTGATAATTTTACATATGTTATGAAGTTCCTGACCCAGTGCCCAGTTCGCCCTGGAAATAGGCAAACTCAGGAAGATTCTACAGAGGCGGCTCGGAGACTTCCTGCAGCCTCATGCCCCTGCCTATGTCCCCAGGGTCCCCGCAGCCCTAAGATTCTTTGGGCTAGTGACCACCCCCTGGCCCGGCAGCAGTGAATACACTGAATACACTTTCAATCTCCTGAGCATTGCAGTTGCTAGCTGTGACAAATACGTAGACGTAGACGTATAGGGTTAGCCCTTCCACTGCAGGTTGAAGTCTACTAGTAAGTGCTGAGCCCACAATTGAGGGAAGTCCAAGGCACCGCTCTTCGCGGCCGTAGGCCGAGGAGATGTTCCCAAGCCTCCAGACCATCCGGGGATCTTCAGAAACTTGCAGGGTTTCCGGGACTGATCCGATAAATCGTTGCGGTCACTCGGCCCCCTCTCTGCAGCCGGGCGGCCAAACGTGGCACCGGAGCTGTGCGCCTGGTCCTCGTCGTGTGACCCCAGAGCTTCGGGCAGCTGTCGAGGCTTCGAGGCTTCGAGTCTAAGGGCATCCTGCAGTCACAATGAGGAAACCGAGGATGGCTGTTGCACAGCCTCAACCTCTCTTGCGGCTGTTCGAAACTCAAGCTAGAAGCCAGCAGCAACCCATTGTAAACGGCTTCTGCAAGTAGGGACAGGCTTGCTGGGCCGTCGTTCATGTTTAAACCCACTGAAGTACAGCCTCTCCTGCAGTGAAAGGCAGCAGCTCTTTCTGCCTCGTCTTGCTTCAAGTCCGACAAAAGGTTCAGGGTCTGGGGCTTCGGGCATCGTTTGTGCACGTGGCAATACCATACATACTTGCCAGCCTTCATGTGTCTGCAACACCACCACAGTTATCACACGCAGGTATAAACAAAAGTATCGTCGACAACGCGAAACTAAGGGCAAGCTGTACATCAGCACATGGGCAGGCAACCCAGTGCTCATGCACGCGGACTTAGGAGTATATGAAGAAGGAGACAGCATCTCTACCCTAGAATATCTGTCTAGGACATCAACGCTCTCTTCCTGGCAGGCTGCCGGAGCGACGCGATGTCCAAGGTCGTGCCTCGACCAGGCGGTGACTAGTGTCTAAATTTCATCTCAAACCCCTATCAATCCACGCACGGTGCTCGAACCAACAAATTCCATCCAAAACCAAAATTACTCCAGAACCCCTATTAAATACTTCTACTCGAACCTCTCCTGGCGCTCCTCAGCCTTAGCCCGTGTGGCTTCATCCTCGAAAAAAGAGGGCAACCTTTGCCTTAGGTTGGGTGTTTTCGAGCTTGGGATTCCGACAGAACCCTAGGGTACACCAAGCCTAGTGCATGATCTCGAAACCTCCAGGTTCAGGCTCCTCCGTTCTGAACTCGCCCAAGCCTCATTATACTAAACCACACCCAGCCTTCGAGGTCAACGCCGGCACCTCGGTCGAGCACTCGTTTTGTGAACTAGAGTTGAATCTGGATTTTGTCGCGGGTTTTACGGTTATTCTTTGTTCTTAATCATGCTAAGGATGTCTCGGATGTTGAAGGCTTGACCCTGGATCACTCTGCGAAAGCTGCTGCGTTGGGAGCACTGGGCGGACAGATCCGCGTGCTGCGGCCACCGATGCGAAGGCCGCTGAGCTGCAGGGCCGTGCGGGCCTCAGCCGGTTGAAGGATCAGAGGGACCCTAGACATAGTAGGTCCCCTCTATATTTGCAGCTTCTATCGCGTTTCATGCACTTAGTGAAGCCCGTGAAACTCCTAGTACCATGCTTCAATGCTTGGGGATGCCCTCACCATGCACCTCCTGCGCTGAAGCCCGGAACGACCAACTCGGTTCGATGTCTCGCTTCCCTCTCTCTTATAAACCCCTCGGTAGCCGCACCAAAAGGCGGTCATAGAACTTCACAAAAACGAAGGTGGAGGTGTTGTGCGTTTTCTGTCCTTGGAAGCAGGTTGGTGTTGAGGCCGCAACCAACGCATAGTGGCTAATTGAACGATGTATACATATGTACGCTGATATATACAAATAGAAACATGGATGCATGAGTTTCAAGTTGCACGTGAAGTGGGACGTACTCTTGCCGCCTGTCCATGGTGATAAAGTGGAGCAGCACACGGGCAGTCGCAGGCTCAAGGCCGAAGCGTGGCAAGTATTTTGTCAGAAGCTTCCGGGGATCCCTTCATTTGTGGATCTCGGGGGACAGGGGAGTGATCAACACACCGGTACTGAGGGAAAACCTCGCATTTGGGAAGCACAGTCCCAGACATGAACGCGAACCCAGAAAACCAAAGGGAAGCCAAAAGAACCGAAACCCAAACACACCGAACAAACCAACTCACTGCCAAGAACGAAAGCCGAAGACTACAGCCTCTCGCTCGGCTTGTGCTTTCGGACTTTTCGGCCGTAACCTTTGGGCCGGGATGGGTGATATGCCGAGGGCTCAGCATGCGATCGGGATTGCAGAGCATGTTGCGAGGCAGCTTTCAGATACTGGGACCTGCGACGAACTTAATACTTGAAGACATGCCATGACTATTGACTATTCTTCTCTCCAACATTTCTGCTCCTGGCAGTCAAGTTCCTGCAAGGTGTAAAAACTGATGCTGCTGCCAAAGGGTCGCTTGGGAGGTGCCGGTGGCGGAAAGTGCACCTCGCATAACAATGATGCTGTTGGACTGGTTGACGGCCGCGCAGGCAGAACAGCGGCAAGTATGAAGCTTGAGTCATGAAAGAAACAGTCTGAGACCACTGGGCAAAGAATTTCACCTGGTGCGAGAGTTTCGCATGTAGGGAAGTCCGACCTTTCGCATTCTCACGTCTCGGCTCCACACGCTGACGATGGGATTTTTCACGTCGCGGTATCGCAAGCGGTAGTCCTCCAACTCCTGCTTCAGGATCTGTACTCTTAGCAATGGGGTACAGGACGCTGTGGGAAATTGAGAAACTCGGGTGACTTTGGGAGCGTGGAGGCTTGAACTCTTCTCTCGGAGTTTGGGAGGGCTGAAGTTCAGGGCGGCTTGCCGACGAGATCATGCCACTCTGTTTGTAATGCGCCCCATGGAACCCCAAACATGCCCAGCCATACATTCCCGTCCTTTTGACTTCCCTTATGAACTGTCCTACTTGTGGATGCCAAGTGTGGTACACCGAGCCCAAAATGAGGCTCACAGGCACTGGCCTCAAACAACCAATTGAACCTGAAGCCTTTCAAGCTCGTCCTGAAAAGCAGCCTCCAAGGCATCGCGAACCACCTCCTGGTGGTCAGAGTTCTGCATACAATGAAGCCCAGAAACTTGAAATGCAGGTTAGGGCTGCATAGCGAGCAGCAGGCTCCGGAGAATTGCGAGGGTTTCCTGCCCGCTTCTGTTTCAATGCTTGGAGTCTTCTACTGTCTTAGGGTACCGGAAAGCTTACGATTCCTCAGAGTGCAGCGGCCCATGCGCAGGACATGAGCTTCTTATGGGCAAACAACCTGTGCATTCAGACTGCGGGCCCTGCAGCCCAGCAGGTGCGCCTGCACGCCTTTTCTCATACACTCGCTGCCGTGCATGCAAAACAAACAGCAGGCAAACACAGTAACTCAGCTATTGCTGTTTTCATCATGTGATGTGTTGCCTTCCGTCAGACATAATCATGACGATGTTCCAGCGCAGACCAATCTCGAGTCCACATGCTTGGGGAAATGGGTGGGGGGTGTCAAGCCTGCATGAAAAGACAGCCGCTCATTTTGATCGGCATTTCAAGAAACAAGTGGTGGCTGTGATCATGATGATCGTCGCGATGACCACCATGATCGTGATACTAGCACGGTGAGAGTGTATACTATCACCACGATCATGGCAGTCGCGCCATGACCATGAACATCCTCATCATTCGCCTCTTCAACAAATACTGGCAAAAAATGCAATAACATGCGTGATGATGATCTCCAATTCTCGCTTGAAAAGGTGCCTCACGGAACCCTCAGAGCTCCCACCAAAGTCTCTCCCGGTCCTGGCGGGCGCTGCTCCACGCGAGGCCTCCAACGTACACCTGCGACATGTCGGGCCGGGTTGTGGCAAGGCCTGGTAGGGCCTTGGCATCGGCTTCCGGTTGGCAGGCTGCTGCCGGTTCTCTTGAATTGCTTTGATATTTCTTGCGTCTGTGCGTGCGTGTATGTTTGTATGGAGGGGTGGACGGACAGGGCAAAACGAAGGGATGGCTGACCCCTGTTCCCCACTTTTCGTAAAACCAGATTGGATCGCGCA